ACGTCATATTACAAGTCAACGTAAATACAGTTTTGGCTTTCTCTTTAAATATAACTACTGTCACAGTGGTGTATTTTGGTTTATTTTGTGTACAATGCATTGTTATTAAGTGTTAATAAATCGTGTTCTTCACTTATGTGCTAAGTTATGTTGTGTATTATAATGATAGTGATGCTCATAATTATTTATTTTGAACACGAACAGATGCACGTGCACATATTGCACGTTCAATCTTTTATGATTGCAAGCAGGCCGGCCTGGTGAGATATCAATTATGAACCTTGGGATCACGAACAAAGCTTTCAAAAAGCCAGTATGTATTATATGTTATTAACGTTTCACAGCAGAAACAAATGTTCTCATGTTGCGATAATGTTACAGAAAATCGTTGGACCGATTTGAATTGTTGGTAAACTCACGCAAATTTGATGAGCATTCGTTTTACGAAAAATAATCATTGTTTGTGTAGTTGGCCGTTTGAAAGTCCGAGGAGCGATGGCAGAATTGAAAACAACAATTATTTCACAAAGTGAAAAAACACCATATTTATTCATCATAGAAAAACAGAAGTAAGGAAAGGACAAAAGTATTTTGCAGTGATTTGCTATCGCACACCCACCCAAATGGCCCACCCCTTATTCCGATTTCTGCTTTTTCCTAACATTCACCCACCCCGCCAAATTTTACCAACGGTCACATTGTCTATCCGCGCGTCAGTGAATATGAATATCAACGTAAATAGTCGCCACTTTCAAAACGGTAAAACGTTGAGTAAAGATCTTGCTTTATTGGTAATTGCCGACATCAAAACCGGTGGTGGTAATGCTAACACCGGTGAAATACCGAAAGGAGTTCTATCTGCAATTTCGAAGCGGTACGAAAAAGGTATGGGATCGTTACGTCAGAACTGGTGCTTTGCTACACATGGACGTAGCATACCTAGAAAGTATGAAAGTTAGAAGACCAACAGTTTCATCTAAACAGATGAAAGAAAGTCTCGAAACAGTGTCAGCTACAAGTGTATCGGTTACAACTATCGACCGGAGCTATCAAAAAATCGATTTACCGGCGGTAGTTGGAGCTATAAGCGTACTGTTCGGTCAGCAAGTCAACGCTTTTCCCTTGATAACCTTATGTACACACAGGCGTATCTGGATTTATTGCACACCTTAGAACCAAGACGATTGAAATTTATGGATGAAAGTGAGTTTAAATTGAATGACCATGGTAACCCTAGATATACAACAGCCAAGTTTCACAAGTTTTAGAGATGTGGTTGAACCAACAAGGCATTGATGTAGAAAAAGGTTGGGACGACTACACAATTCAGGACAGCAATAATGCCCTTATACCACGGTTGAGGTTGAAATGACTTTATTGTCCAAATGTCTCATTCAATTCTAAAATGACAAATGAATATAGAATAACAAATACAGACACACTATTGCTCATATATCCTGACAATGAACTCGTGCAATAAACAATACTTCAGTTAAATAATAATTACATAATAATTACAGTTTTCATTTATAAACAAACTTCACTCAAAATCAGATCCTACATATGTAACAATGAAACTTACTACTTTGCCGGGTATAAACACAATTCTGGTTAGCCAGTTGCAGTTCAGAAAGCATTCATATACTTCGTCAATACCTAAATAATAAATTACATAATTTAATGCAAAATCATACACTACAGAAAACAATCAAAATCAAAATACACATCATGAAGTCAACAATAATTTTCTGACTATTTAAAACCCTAGTACAAATCTTAATAACAATTCAGAACAAAATACAACTATTAATTCAGACCACCGTCAGCGTACTACATATTCATGAGATCATATGCAAATTAGCATGATGTCAGCAATTCACTCAATACGCGTTCACAACAAATCTAACA